TTCTATTCTATTCTAAATTCTTATTCTATTCTATTTCCTTCTTTATTTTATTCTATTCTATTCATTCTTGGTTCATTCTTATTAATTGTCCTTACTGGTAGGAAGTTTCTCCTTAATTCCAGCTTGCTTCTCTTTTCATCTCTCTTTCTTTCGGAACAGTTTTCCCGATGTGATGATGCCTTCTTATTCCCGGAACCCGTGGTCCTGTGTCTTTTTCATTGTGTATCTTTCCATCGAGTTGTATTTCATTATGAATTTGGTAAGTAGAATCTCCAGCCTTTTGCGATTTTTCTCCTGATTTCAAGAGATTCTGCCGAAACGTCTCTACAATAAAAAACACAAATATTAAGATGTGGGAAAATACCCAGAGAAACCTAAATAACATACTTACATACATACATACATACATACATACATACATACATACACACAAAAATTCCATTCCATTTCAATCATGCGTCGATTACATGTTTCAGAATTCTTTATTGGCCAAGTGTGATTGGATACACAAGAAATTTGTCTTGGTGCAAATTTTTGATTTTTTGTTGTTTTGTTTTGTTTTCCCACATTTTGTTCTATTGTACTTTACTAATTTATTTGATTCTTTTTGTTAGTTTTTATTGTTTTTATTTTTTATTTTAAATATGGTTTTACATTGTGTAAGCTGCCTTGAGTTGCCGTAGGCGAATAGGCGGCAATATAAAATAAAATGCTCTCTGTGTTACATAAAAGAAAAGATACATTCATCAAGAGTCAAGAATCATAAGATCCAACACTTAATAATAGTCATAGGGTACAATAAGCAATCAAATCATACTAGGAAACAGTCCATATAAATCGTAAGGATACAAGTGGAAAAGTTACAGTCCTACAGTGAACTCATAATTAACCCATTACCTCCGCTGGAAGCTGCTTCCAACTTTCCACTATTCTTCCCTGTGAAGTCATGCCTTCTAACCTGGCTTTGGAACTTCCCTCCTGTCAGTTTGAGATTGTTCTTCATTTTTGCTTCACCCTTTCTTCCCTCCCGTAGCTCCTGGCTGTCGTTTTTGACACCTTCAGTGACATTGAAAAAATGAAGTTCCGGTCACTCTTGCTTCACAAGCGCACGGCTGTCCAGCATGCCTACCGCCTGCTGGTTAGCAAACAGGTAGGTGGTCCTGGATAGAATAGGGTCCGGATTTTCGATCAGGTGGGCCAGGGTGCAATGGTCATAGGTGTGAAAAACGGTCATACCTTTTTCAGGGCCGTTGTAACGTCGATAAACCAACTATTGTGAGGCTGTGCGTCCTCCGTGTAACTTCCTTCTTTTGTCTCTAGAGTCCCTCTGGGGTTGCTTTCAAGCAATTTGATGGCCTGATGCACTTCTACGCACCCCGGATGAGTGTTCGAGACCGTTATCTGACTTTCAAAGCACTGAGTCAAAGCAACAGCCCTTTGGTTAGGTAAGGATGGAGGTGGGTTTTTTGTTTTTTTTCCCCCTGCCCCATGGAAGAAGATGGAAAGAATCGGACGCTTTCTTTTCCCCAAACAAATTACAAATTTCCTCAAACAAATTACAAATTTCCCCAAATTACAAATTACAAATTACAAAACTTAGGTGTCAGACCTGCCCTAGTCTGATCCCTTAGGGAAGAAAAACCCTCGACTCCCAGTGTGTGTGTGTGTGTGTGTGAAGGCATTCTAATGACAGTGTGAGCATCTAGCAGTCTTGCATGCCAAGCGTTTAACACGTTTTATAGTGAGGATCTTTCTTTTTTTGTTCCTAGCAGTGAAATGCTCTTACAAAAGGAACAAAATCTTTGCTTGGAAGATGGTTTGCCTCCCTTCCTTTTTTTTTTTTTGCAAGCTCTCATCAGCACATCTAGTCATGCAACAATTCTTATTTTTATCTCTCTCTCTCTCTCTCAGCTGAGTCGGCATGCAGAAACGCCTCGCGTGACATGGGTTGTTGCAAACTTTTGCTCAGACTTTTAAATCTGGGACTGAGCCCTTTCATTCTTGAACTGGGGGGTGGGGTGAGGTTGGGTTTGGGGATCCGGTTGGCAAAATCTGAAGATGTGTTTGAACGGGAGAATGGAACGTGGGTAGAAAAGACACACACACGCACACCCCTCTTTGTCTGTTTCAGTTTGAAGGATATGTACAGTTTCTACGAAGTGGCTGGTTTGAAATGGAAGGTAAGCCGTCAGTTTGGGGCTGTTTGGGTGTCTTTGTTTTAGGGGTGCTGGATGGGAGGTGAGCCCCTAGAGGAGAGGTCCCCAAACTTGGCAACTTTAAGACTTGTGGACTTCAACTCCCAGAAATTCTCCAGCCAGCATAACATAGCTGGCTGGATAATTTCTGGGAGGTGAAGTCCACAAGTCTTAAAAGTTGCCGAGTTTGGAGACCTCTGCCCTAGGATGAGGAAGAACAAAAGGGACACCCTTGTGGAGAACAAACGCTGGGGAGATTTATGGATGGATGGATGGATAGATGGATGGAAGGGGTGGGAGAGAGGGAGGGAAGAAGGAAGGAAGGAAGGAAGGAAGGAAGGA